AATAAGTCAATAATATTAAAAAAAATAATTTTTTAGATAATTCTCAAGATGTGGATTTCATTTCATTAATAAAAAACGCTCTAGGTAATTAACATTTGTTATTATGGATATACAAATAATAAGTTTCATGTACTCATAAATTTGAACACTTTTAAATATATAAAATAAAATAATAAATTTACTACATTTAGGTGTAGTTGATGATAATAGTGGTAAGCAAAAATTACTAACATTCAGTTTAATGTGAATAAATAGTTACAATTTTAAATAATCATGACTTTTAAAATATTGATAATAATTATTAATATTGTATAATAAACAAAAATTAAATAATAGGAAGGATAATTTCAACGAAATCTTCGTTTTTTAAAATCAAATTTACACTAAGAGTTCGAATAAAAATATAGGAAACCTCAAAGTAATGTAATAAACCAAAAATAAAATAAATAATAAAAAGGCTTGACAAGGATAATGAAATATTAGGAAGTTAAATAATTTTTTTATTATTTATATAATTTTATTTAATTTTTTTTATTAATGGTTTATTACGCAATAAATTGTTGTCAGTTCGAAAGCATAGGTTAAATTGTACTTATCCTACGTCCTATGTAATGTAATAATATTTTAAACAATCCAACGTCGATTCTGGTATTAAATGCATTACGTATGATTTACACTACATATAATATAGTCAATATAATTACTTATGAAAACCATTTTATTACCGAAAGAACTGGTTTAAACGGTAAAAAATATCTTTTTTATGGTCACCAGTGGTAGTCTAGCTATCTCTAGCATAATCTTGGAAGTTGAGGATTTTTAATCTAATTGGTTAATTATAATGGGGGCCCTGCGTGTAGGCTTTACTTATAAATCTAATTATATAATTGATAATAATTATTGTGATGGTATTTTTCATTTAATAGATTTAACTTTTGATTGTTCCTTATGATAGTCATTTTGAAAAGAATTCTTTAATCGACTGATGTCATATACGTTGTTCTTAAAAAATTTCTGAGAAAAATTAGCAAAATTGTATGTAGTTACCTTTAACTATCCATAATGCCTTCTAATCATTAAAACATGGATATTTTTAGAATAAAAAAACCCAGCACAGTGGTGACGTGGCATAGTTAATTCAAGTATAATGATATCTGACAGTGATTAAAATCACTATCAAAAATAAACGCTTCGATGCAAATCTTTAGATAGTGTTTAATTTAAAAAAAATTGGTGTTTTATTCAAAAGCTACTTGATCTGCTGGTTCCTTATTAATATCCTGATTAAGATAAAGTATGTCGAATGAAAAAGGGTTTATTAAAAAATATTATTATATCTCATAAAAAAATTGTGTGGTGGATCCATAAACTTTTCAATAAGTTATAGCATTATAAAGTTAAATATAATATAAATAATAAAATCGAAAATTTTCACACAAAAATAGCATTTGGTAGCCGTTTTCACCACGAAGACAAGTCCAAAGGTCAAATTTTTTTTTTTCAAATTAAAGTTTATTACATTAGCTTTAATTTAAGATATATATAAAAGTGTCAGACCTTCCGGAACATTTTCAAAAGTTATGTTGAAAAAGTAAATTTGTTGTAAAAAAGTTGTCATTTTAAATCCCCCCCTGTGGGCAGGTCTAGGGTCAAATTTATAAAAAAAATTATACCAAATGATAGGTAAAAACATCATGCATCTAAAAGAAAAAAATTATATTGATTTGTTCATTTTTGAAAAAGTTGTGGCAGTTTTAAGTAAAAAAAAATTTAAAATTTTCGAAAATTAGCGATTTTTAAATTTGTAATTTTTTTGGAGGTTTTCCTCATTTAAGGGGAACGAGGGAAATTTTTCAATTTTCGAGGGTAATGTTTTTGACTAGATTCGATTTGTGATATTTTGACGTATCATTGAAAGAAATCGGTTCGGTGAGAGCTGAGAAAAAGTGAAAACAGACACACAAAAAAAAAAACGCATCATAATAAAATTAATACCTTCTCAGCTTCGCATTGAAGCTAAAAAAAAAATATAGCATAGTTTCTATAGCATAATTGTTTTCTTATATTTAATCATTGAAAGAAAATTATATGTCGCCCAAAATAGTTTATTTGGGTATCATTTAAACATGTAAAATAAAAAGCAAAGTTAAAATAAGCAATTTTTATATAACAATAAAAGAAAGGTTTTTTCAATCAATTTAAAATGGCAAAAGGTGAGGTAGGGCTATTTCTATTATTATCACTAAACATTTTTCGACCTCACTCGTCCTCCCACCATAACATAAAAATATTAATAATTTCTTAAACAAAATGTATACACATTTGTTTACTTTCATAGGCTCGGGTAGCGCAAGTTCTGAAGGTAAAGTTTTTAATTAATATTTAAATAATAGAATAAGTTCTATTTCTATAATTTTTCTCAACACAAATTAACGTTTAATATTGCATAAAAAGCAAGTAACAAAAAAAAATAATTTTTACAGATTTTAAAATGTTTCAGTGATCTAATAACAAAGTATATTATATTTATAATACATTCATTGATTTCTTGAAGTTCCAAAAATCCTAAATCATTTGCCAATAAAACTCATCTCATTATATATATTTTGAAAAAAATATACCAAATGATAAATAAAGACATCGAACATCTTTATAAAAAAAAATTATATTGATATGTTCATTTTTGAAAAAGTTAGAGCATTATTATGTTAAAAATATAAAAAAAAATTATTTTACAAAAATCGTAATTTTTTATTAACTTTGATGTCAACTTTCACCACGAAAACAAGTCCAAAGGTCAAATTTTTTTTTTCAAATTAAAGTATATTACATAAGCTTCAATTTAAGATATATATATAAGTGTCAGACTTTCCGGAACATTTTCAAAAGTTAAGTTGAAAAAGTTAATTTTTGGTGAAAAAGTTGTCTTTTTAAATCCCCCCCTGTGGGCAGATAAAGGGTTAAATTTACAAAAAAAATATATAAAATGATAGGTATAGATATCAAAAATCTATATAAAAACTTTCAAAAGTTAAGTTGAAAAAGTTCTACTTTCTATATGCATTTTTTATATTTGAAGCCCCCCCATATATAGGGAAATAGTCTGATTTGAAAAAATAGTATATCCAATGAAAGATGTATATAAGTACTACTTCTCATGAAAAAATTGTATTGATCCATACATTTTTTAAAAAGTTATAGCACTTAAAGTAAAAAATGTAAATTATAAAATCGAAAATTTTCACACAAAAATAGCATTCGGTAGCCGTTTTCACCACGAAGACAAGTCCAGTGGTCAAATTTTTTTTTTTCAAATTAAAGTACATTACATTTGCTTTAATCTAATATATATATAAAAGTGTTAGACCTTCCGGAACATTTTCAAAAGTTAAGTCGAAAACAGTAAATTTTTTGTGAAAAAGTTGTCATTTTAAATCCCCCCCTGTGGGCAGAAAAAAGGTCAAATTATAAAAAAAAGGTAAAGGCTTAAATTTATAAAAAAATATATACCAAATGATAGGTAAAAACATCATGCATCTAAAAGAAAAAAATTATATTGATATGTTCATTTTTGAAAAAGTTACAGCAGTTTTTAGTAAAAAAAATTGAAAAAATTTCGAAAATTAGCGATTTTTAAATTTGTAATTTTTTTGGAGGTTTCCACCATTTACGGGGAACAAGGGAAATTTTTTCAATTTTGAAGGGTAATGTCTTCGATTAGATACGATTTGTGATCTTTTGAAAGAAATCCGTTCGGTGAGAGCTGAGAAAAAGTGGTAACAGACACAAAAAAAAACACATCTTAGTAAAATTAATATCTTC